CAGCCAGTTAACATTTAGAGTGAAGGCCAAGTGCAAAACAAGAAATGACCCTTGACCTACACTCAGAATGTGGCACAAGAGATGGAGGAGGAGGAGGCTGGATTTCCTTGGCCACAAGAATTTCCTCTCTTGCCAATAGTTAGTGACCAAGTTCACTGATCCAGTCTTGAGCCTAAGAATCACTAGCTGCTCTTGGCACATTTCTCTCGAACGCAGGAATTCTCCTACTCCCTTCTACAATACACCTCCCCAGGCATGGCTGCCAGTCTCCCAGTGCCATCGGCCTTCTTAGCTGCAAATAGTTGCCACAGGTGCTTAGCTCTGTCCAGCAGCTTCATCACCTATTCAGGCCAGGTCAGAATTTGTGAAGATCATTTACCTGGTGCAGGACATTTTTCCTATTACTGGAGTATGTGAACTACTCGAAATCCAGAGAATATACCACTGGCCCAAGAAGGGGCAAGATTGCTGGGCAGCCCACCCATAGCTGGTCGCAAAGGCATCCCAACTGGCCTCCCCCTCCTAGCCAGGATCTTCATTCTGGGTAGGAGCAGGACAAACAAAAAGCATTCACACATTAAATGGAACATGTTCCTTCATGTGAGCCCTGAACTGCATCCTCCCAGCTGATCATTCAGCCTGCAGAGCTCTGCTTAGTGAAGCCATACAGAGGGCTGTCATCTGCTCAGGAGAAAGGTTTCAAAGGTTGTTCTTAAAAATAAATAAATAGATCTCCTCCGTGGGTTTACATCAACCAAAAAGAGAATGTTCTTTTCTAAACTGTGCATTGTATTACTAGAATATAAAATACACTAGTTTTTTTTTCTTTTATTTACTGATGTTTTCTTAAAAAGAGACTTTTCAAACATTTTCTAAAGGTTATAGGAACACGCTGTCATAAGTAAATCAAATATTTTTTAAAAAAAATAATTTAATCTAGAACTCAAATGAGATATATTTGAGACATTTTCAAGTATTAATGAAACAATCTGTCCATGATACAAATCTCCATTGTAATTAAATGTCACCAGGCACCACTTGGTATCTTGACAGTGAGTTAAGAAACAGCATTAGACTTTAAGAACTTTGTAAAGTTAATTCAGCAGAGTCAGCAGCTGCTAGGCAAAGTAGAAAACTTTGTAATTGTTTAAAATCAAAGAATGTCAGAGTTGGAAGATACCTACCTTAAGCACCATCGCTCAGATGGAGAAATTAAGGACCGCAGAAGGCAGGAGACTTGTGTACACGCTCGCTGGTCCTTAGAGCTGTGGCTACCTGGGAGTGGGGGTCACATGGAGGCAACGGAGATGAGTATGACGCTTTGCTGCCTACGGAGAGTTTGCCCTCTAGGAGGGAGGATAAGAGAACACAACTGCTGTAAGACAGCATCAAGGAAAGGCTTTAACAGATGGAGAAGGGAGAAGGTTTGTCTCGTTGGAATTAGAAAAAGCTCCCCAGTAGAGGTGGCACTGAAGTTGTTGCAGGACAACAGGGAGGATTCTGCCGGCAGACGTGGAGAGCGGGAAGACGCAGGGAGGGCAGGGAACAGGCAAGTCGGGAAGAGTCTGAGCAGGGCAATGGTGGGCGAGCACAGAGCAGGAACTGCCCCCAGGAGTTCTGTGTGCCAGGAATGCAAACTATGTGAGGGGAGCAGAAGGAGGCAGGGCCCCTGTGCCAGGCTGAGCAGGCCCTACTAGCTCGCTAGACAAGGGGCTCAGCACCAGCTCCTTTGCACAGGGGGATGTGATCAGAGCACAGCTTTAAGAAGCCAAGGGGTGGCCAGGGATAGGAGGCAGTGGAAGAGGCGAGATGAGGATCCAGGACATTAGGTGGGAAACTGTTTCCATAACCTGAACCAGGGGCCCAGAGGTGGAATCTTAATAGAAAGGAAAATGCAGTTTTAAGAGAATGCAGCCAAAGCAGAACCAAAAGGGCTGGATGGAGGGCAGGGAGGAAGGAACAGAGTCCAGGGATGAGCAGAGGTTTGGAGCCGGTGGATGAAGGAGTAATGATTCCAGTAATGGCAAAAGGAAGCTGAAGTGAAGTATGTTGAGGAGGAGGGGGAGAGAGGCTCAAAGGTGACAGGAGCTGTGAGTCTGCTTTGTAAATCGTCATGTGGTCCAAAGTGGGGCTGCTGCTGAATACAGAGGGGGGAGAGGGGAGAAGATGGTCCTAATGAGGATTGTGAGTATGAAGAGTTTTGTTTTGGATGTCTTGAATTTAAAATGCCAGTATCCATGGAGAGTTGTTCTCAGTGGTTTAGACGTTCAGAACTGGCTTCAAAAGAGCAGGTGAGCTAGGGATCCAGGTATGGGCATCAGCTGCACAGAGACTTCAGTGGACTCCTTGGGAGAGGATGAGCCCACCAAAGGGGAGACTGCAGGATGGGGTGGGAACCTCTTCTCATGGGGAATAGGGAGCAGCATGTCCCTTTATTTCCATCAAAACCCTAAGTTTTGGTCAATTATTTTCATTTCCTTATCCAAATTCTAACAAGTGTTACTAATTTCTAACAAGGGATGGATTTCAGTTTTATTTCTTCTCCTTTAATCTACCTGATGAAAGATAATGTGTACTGAACAGAAGAAAGAAATGAAATAAGGAAAGGAGCAAAAGCAAAGGGCTTGAATGCGCTGCCAACTGAATATTCAGTTCTGGAAGAGTTGGCAGGACATTAATCTGCTAGACCCTTAGCCAACAGAACTGGTGATAGTCAAAAGCCCAGATATGCCCCTGCCTTCTCTGCAGGGTCAGCTGGAGATCGGAGCAAATAGAAATACTCTTCAAACTGACAAAAGAGAAAAGAATTTGGTGGTTTCCTTCTTGGTATTTTACCAAAGAGCTGCCTATTTCCAGCTGAATAAAAGCACAGTATTGAGGAGAAGAATGCATTGCTTTAAAGCAGATCAGAAAAGCAGCATGTAGCCATATGCACAAAGTCCAAAAGAAACGATGCACCGTGGTAGAAAAAGGCAGGTGGTATGCTTCTCTGGCCACTTCCATTCACTCCATTCACTCTCCTTATATTTTTTGAATACCTACTATATACGCCAGACACTGCACACAGCCCTGGAAATACTGAAATGCAAACCACACAGCTTCTAAAGCACTCTCAGGGAGACAGGCATGTATCTCACGAAGAGAGGGGAGAGGGTTATGCACAAACTTCCCTAGAAGACAAGGGAGAGCACGCCAAGGGCTAGAGTAAGCAGACACACAGGTAAGGAGACACAGCTCTGCCCTCCAGGACCTTACAGTCAGGGGGGACGATAATAATGGCTCTGAGTCTGAGAGAGGTAAAACCAAAAGTAGAACTGGAAAAATACGAAGTCCTTGATTACAAGAAGATAGAAATAACTCTGAATGAACACAGATTTTGTGAACACCCACTTAATTCTAACATCTCCTGGGAATAGTGTTTATTTTCTGCCTTTTATCAAGAAAACTAAGGCTCAGAAAAAGTAAGTGACTTCCTTCTGCTAACAAGTGGTTGAGTAGGAATCCAAACAAGGTTTTCTAACCTCAGAGCTAAAGCAGAGTTCTTTACACTGATTTAGTTGGAGAGAACACACATACATACTCACAAGTTTGCTATTCTGAAGTTCAGAATGGAAAGAGATCACTTTAGATTGGAGTGATCTGAGAAGGCTTCAAGGAGCAGGTGGTATATGTGCAAGGCTGGAAAAGTGGATAGGGAGCAGAAAGAATGGGAGGGAGAGATGGGAGAAAGGAGAGAACTGGAAGTTTGGAGAACACTATGTAGGAAGCCCCTAATCCTATCCAGAAGATCTAGGGAAGCTCACAAAGGTGGTGACATTTGCTTTGCATCTGAGGTGCGCAGAGGAGCTCCACAGAAGCAGGTGAAAGGCAGGAGCAGAACTAATTCCACGACTACGTGAGGAGGTGGCAGGATCACTGTAGGGGTCACTTGTGGGGTCACTGTTGGGTAACTACAGCACAGTGTGGAGCCATCTCAGGGACAAGTAGCTTCATACCATTTGGCCTATACTCATATAAGAACATACTCCAGAAATAAAATGAAAAAAAATGTTTAGGAATGGAAAAGAAAGGGAGGAGGAGGGAGGATGCATGGAAGGGCAGATGGCTTAGTAAGGGTCGATTTTGGGTTCTATTTCTGGTCCAGTTTTTATTTGTGACTTTAATGTTTTAGTGGTCAGCTAATTTTCTGTGAATCGGTTTCCTTATATGTGAAAGAAAGATGATATATCCTAACCTAACTCACAGACTAATGCAAAGATAGAAGTGAGCACATTTGAAAAACGTAAAAACATGACACAAGGAGAAATCATTATGTGTGTCATGTTTATATGTGTAAGATGGTAGCTGAATACATTCATGGACTAAGATGGTCCCGGAGCCACAAAAAGGTTTAGGCCAAACATGATGCTTTGGGGATGCATGACAAGGATTCAGAGTCACCAGATCTTAGAGTAACCCAGTGTTGAGGCTTCGAGTCACACTCCCAGCTGCTCTTCCCAGTGCCTTCTCAGGGGACTTAAAGCTGTGTGGCAGGCGCAGCACCATCACATCAAGGCACGAGCGCTGCAGAGAGGGGTCACGCTTGTCCCACCTGCCTCCCTGGACCACACACACACGCACGCACGCCACCTCCCTCAGCCACCTCAAGCTGACAGTCACAGAACTCAGAGCATCTTCCCAAGTTCAAGCTACTGGGCAGAATTTCAGGGGCTTTGTCCCTTCCTGGAAAAGCCCACCCCTTAGATGAGGTGACCAAATACCCAGGTTGTCTGAGTCAGCCCTGGTTGACGCCTGTTGTCCCAGTGTAAGTATTGCCAACACCCCCTTTCACTCTCAAAAGCTGCCCCAGTTTGAATATAAATTCTAGGGTCCCCTTACCCATAGGCTACCAGGTTAAACCTTGCGATTCTCTTGGGAGGTCAACTCTGAAGGACCCAGAAACTGCGCTTTGAGAACACTTAGCACTCCATGGAGTAACCCTCGTTTCTTTCTCATTCCAGGTGCATAGCGTAATGTCCATGTTGTTCTACACTCTGATCACAGCTCTTTTGATCGGCATACAGGCAGAACCATACACAGAGAGCGATGTCCCAGCAGGACACACCGTGCCCCAAGCCCACTGGACTAAGCTTCAGCACTCGCTCGACACAGCTCTCCGCGGAGCCCGCAGCACGCCTGCGGGGGCGATAGCGGCCCGGGTGGCAGGGCAGGACCGCAACATCACCGTGGACCCCAGGCTGTTCAAGAAGCGGCGGCTCCGCTCACCCCGCGTGCTGTTCAGCACGCAGCCCCCGCCCGAGGCCGCGGACGCCCAGGACCTGGACGCGGAGGTCGGCGGCGCCGCCCGCTTCAACAGGACTCACAGGAGCAAGCGGTCCACGACCCACCCCGTCTTCCACAGGGGGGAGTTCTCCGTGTGCGACAGCGTCAGCGTGTGGGTCGGGGACAAGACCACCGCCACGGACATCAAGGGCAAGGAGGTGATGGTGCTGGGAGAGGTGAACATTAACAACAGTGTGTTCAAACAGTACTTTTTTGAGACCAAGTGCCGGGACCCCACTCCCGTGGACAGCGGGTGCCGGGGCATTGACTCCAAGCACTGGAACTCGTACTGCACCACGACTCACACCTTCGTCAAGGCGCTGACCATGGACGGCAAGCAGGCCGCCTGGCGGTTCATCAGGATCGACACGGCCTGCGTGTGCGTGCTCAGCAGGAAGGCCGGGAGGAGAGCCTGACCTGCCGCCGCCCCTGCCCCCGCCGCACCCTCCTGGGCCCCTCCCTACCTCAACCTGTAAATTATTTTAAATTATAAGGACTGCATGGTAATTTATAGTTTATACAGTTTTAAAGAAAGCATTATTTATTAAATTTTTGGAATCATCCTGTGCGCCAGTACTCAAGTCCTTTTCTTCAGTAAGGCCATCAGCAGGTTTTGGGAAGATGTGGGGTGAATTGTCGGCAGCCAGCCCTAGCTACCTCTAGGGCCTCCCCTGGAACCTCACTCCAGTCCGCTAGGACTGCAGTTCAGGGAAGGCTGACGGGGTTCAGGTATTAGCCTGAGCCGGCATGATTGGGAAGGGAGGGCTACCGGATTGCAAGTGTGTTCTGCATTCCGGAGCCAAAGCTACCTAATCCTTGGATTACTCGCCCCACAGCGGGGACCCACGAGCCTGATTGCTTCACTTGGGGAAGTTAGTGGAGCTTCATCAGATCACCACTGGGCTTGGGGCTGCCCCGGGCAGCAGAGAGGCCCAGGCTTGGTCCTGCAGGGACTCACTAGATAGACAGGAGGAGGTTTGCACCAAAGACCTGTGAGGCTGCCTATTTTTAGAGGGAGATCTGCTGTCTGGAAGAGCTGTAACAGAATAATCTCATGAGGCTGTCACGGTAGATCTGATTTCATGTTAAGATTGCCTTCGTACTAATGGCTGCCCCCCAGTTTATCCCTCAGTGGCTTCCTGCAGAAAGACTTCATTACCCCAAGAAAACATTAGGGCCTCTGACACTCTTGCCACCCACTGACAGCCGTAGCAGCGACTTCCAGTGGCCCCAGCGTTGGCCCCAACAGCCAGGGAAGGCAGAGACCTGTTGGGAAAGAGCTTCTGACAACTTTTTGATTCTTAACTGGTTGATTTCCAAAGGCCATGGGACCTGTAGAGAAGAGGTGGGGGAGGAAGGCTAAGGCGAATGGAGTGAGACCGTCACAATGAACGGGAAGATGCGGCCCAGCCGGGAGGGAGCAGTGGCTTTCTGTTCCTCCCTGGCAGGGGAGATGGAGCAGGGGACAGAGAGAGAGCAGAGGGCTGCAGGGAAGGGGAGGGGAGGGCGCAGCAGGAGGAGGAAGGTGTGTCCTCTCTCCTTCACAGGCATGCCCCTGCCTCCAGCAATGTCACCATCCTGGGCAGTGTTTGTGGGGTTTTTAGATGTGCTCATCACCACTGACTGTATCAAGAGCATCTTAGAGAGAGGTGAAGGTAACAGAGAGACCGCCAGGTTCAGCCTGGAGCAGGACTCCACCCAGCCTCACATGCCACCTTCCCCTGCAACTTTCATTTGGTATTTTCCCTGAAACCACATTTTTCCCCCCAGACAGAGCACTTATATTTGACACAGACATTTTACTCTCCCATCCATCCCTTCTCCCCTCCAAGGATGAAATGCCTACTCTGGTGTTCAAGAGAACAGGACCAAATTGTCCATCCGAGAAATAAGCAAACGGTCGTATTCTTTCCCTCTGCAAGGCTCGCTGTCTGCCCCACCCCCACCCCATCCAAATAGGGCAAATTAGAAACGTAGGGAGCTTTGGCACGAGAGCCATTTGATCAGGGTAAAAGCATGATGAAATGTGCTCTGTTTTTTCTATCAAAGCTACTGCAATTGGAATAAAGATTTATGTTCAAGAAACACCAACCAGAACATTCTGTGCTGAGATAGTTGGTGAGATAAAGGCCTGGGGAGGGAGCCCTCCCACTGACCTGGCTTTGTGGCTTTTTACTGGCCTCCAATGCCAGTGGCCTCGGTCATTTCGGGCCCCACTACAAACAGTTCCTGGGGGGAAGGGAGGGCTTTCTCTTAGGGCTGGACAGGCCTGCAGGTCCCGGATTTGGGGAGACAGGAGTGGAGAGGGAGGCATGCAGGAGGCTCCCATCGGAAGGGTTTGTTTGTGAGCAGCTACACTAGCAAAGAGAGTCCTGGAGAGCTGCTCCCGGCACTGCCAGACACTTGGGACATTGAAAAAACGTCTTTGGTTCCCATGGGCTGCCTGAAGGGAAGACCCTCTGTGGGGGGAGGGGAGACGCTCTGAGGGAGGACTCAGGCCAAGGCCTCCTCATCTCCTCCTCCCCATAGGTAAGAGGAGGGCCTCCCCATCCCAGGAAGACCACCTGCCTTCCCAAAGGCACAATCCGCTCTAGGCCGAAACTCCGGAGCCCCAGCGTGGGAGACAATGTTTTCACTCAATACGAGGGGATATCAGTTTGGCCCAACAGCCTTGGAGCCGTCCAAAAACAACCCGAGCGCAGTGGTTTCCGCAGCCTGGGCTCTGCTCCCACTCTTGGGGAGAGCTCCGACCGGCTTTCAGACCCACCCGGCTGCCCCGAGAGGCCGCCCAGGGTCACCAGGGCCCGACACTCGACACTCGAGCACATTGAGAAAACAGCTCCCAACCGCCCACCACGCTCTGCCGAGCAGCGGCAGCTGCACGTCCAGCAAACTTTTCCTTCCAGTGCCTGAGATTTTCCTGCCCGGGTTCCCCGAAAGCCCAGAGGGTGAGAGCGGATCTCTCTCCCCTGGGCGACTTCCTCCACACGCCAAAGAAAACTAGCGCGCACCCTGGCCGGTCCTCATCCCACAGGGCGCTCCTGGCAAGGCTCAGGCCGCCTCGGCAGGGGGCAGAGCTCCTGGCTCTGAGTGAGGAGAGCGACAGGGTGCCTGACTCTAGTTTTCATTCCCAGTCTGTCCCTCTGACCGCCCCTGCCTCCTCCCAGAGCGCCAGCCTCCCCTGGGCCTGCTCTCCTGTTGTGGAAATCCTGGGGACGGAGTTTCAGCCACAACCAAGCGGCCACTTCTATTCCAGTGGAACACAGGAGTGTTCCTCCTGAGAGTCTCGCCACTCTCTCCTCACTCAGCACAGATGCATCGTCAGAGGAGGATCCGCTCAACACCTGGAGTAGAAGACAGGAAGGCAGGGTCTGTCCCCTTGGGTGGCGTGCTCTTTGCTCCCTGGAGAAGACACAGCGAGGCAGAAGAAACAGACCTGAGTGGAGTGTGTGCGCTGTCAAGAACACGGGCCTGGACTCAGCACTGACCTCTGAGTCTTTCTTCCACTGGCCGGAGTGAAGCAGTGGGAGGCACCGGCGCTCAGAGCCGAGGTCATCCGTCACCCGTGGTGCCGAGGAAGCAGCCTGGTGTGGCAAGGCGAACTCTGGGCTCGGTGTCAGCAGAGCTGGGTTCTGGCCCCAGCTCCCCCATTTCTATCTTTGAAACCTTGGCAAGATACAGCTCCTCTTTGAGCTCAGTTCTTGCAGCTGTGAAATGAAAACAAGCATTCCTATATCTCAGAGTTGTGAGCATGAAGCGAAACTGTTTGAAAACAGTCAAGTCCCATGCAAGTGGGAGCGAAATAATTTATTGCAAACTTAACAACTCTGTGTTGATCACAGGAGAGGATCAGCTATGTTGGTGCTCACTAATTATTTTCTGCTTGGCACATGTGTAGCTCAGGTAAGGAAAATCCTCTGGTCAGTGGACATCGTGGAATATAGATGGGTCAGAGCCAGCTTCAGGAGGGGAAGAGCAAGAATAGCAACCCTTTAGCTTCAGATCTGGCCTAAATCTGGGCTCGGGAAGGCCACCTGGGTTCTAGAAGTTCTAGTGCAGCAGTTAAGAGCACAAGCTTTGGAATCAGACAAACGAGGCACTTTTGCTAAGACTGTGTGACTTTAGCAGGCTGCTTAACTTCTGTGACAACTAATACTTGGAAACTTTCTGACAATTTCTTCATCTGTGCATGGAGATAATAATAATGCTTTCCCATGGGGCTCAGAGATAATTAAGTGGGATATATACATCAGTATACACAGTGCCTAGCATTTAAGGAGTGTGTAATAAACTTTAGTTTTGAAAAGCAGATTGATTGAGAAACTCTGAAAGAACGTTAGAATGGGGTAGAATAGCTTTCCACAGTTTGAGAGGGTTCATGAACAGACAGTTTGTATAGATGTAGCATAGGTTCAGCTGTGACGAGCAGTGCTAATAGTGACCATTAGCATTTATTAAGAGCCTACTATGTGCCGGGCATAGTGCTAGGCACTTTATGTGGATTAGCTCTGAGTAAGCCCCTGGGTTCTGACACTAAAGACTACCTTACACAAGTGGCCGGGAAGGCCGTGCCTTCTGTTCGTGTGTCCTCTGCCAGAGAGCTGCTCCACAGCTCCCGGGCTGTGTTTGCTCCTCTAACCCTGGGCAAGCTTACAGGCCATTGGCTCGGAGAGTTTCCACGTGCCAGGCACGTGGCATGTGTTTCGCTCTAATTCACTTGAGTCTGCAACTGAAAAGCTCTGATCTTCCCAAAGTTCACCTGAGTGTGTGAAGATGGCTCAGGGGGCCCAGGGCCAAGAGTAAGTTGGGGCAACCATCTCACACACGACAGCAGCCCGAGGAGAAGCCCTCCAACCCAGGGCTGCTCCTTAAAGTCAAGGATGTGTCACATCTGCCTGGACATGGACCCAGTCTCGTATGTGGCAGGTAATCAGTGCCTTGGAGCAGGTAAGACAGAACTCGGTTTTCATCTTTTTCTCCATCACTACCATCTTCACCCTGTTCCCTACCCTCTGCCCCTACCTGTGTCAGCAGTCAATGAGTTCATGGTCTGAGTTGAAGACGAGGTCCTTCCTGAGGCGTGGGAAGTCCCTGAGCAGCTTTCAGAGGTTGGTGTTACAGTGAGGAGTGAGATCAGACTGTCAGGGTCAAAGCCTGGCCTCACCACCAGCTTAGCTGAGTGACCTTGGACAAATTACTTAATGCTTATCTCTCTGCACTTCAGTTTTCTTGTATGTAAAATGTGCATGATAATAATAGAACTTACTTTGTTGTATTGTAAAGCACTTGGCCCAGTGTTTGGCACATAGTAAATTATTGTTTATAAACCATACGTAAATATACAGTACATGTATACATACAGCTATATATATATACATATACAGCTATATATATACACAGATATACACACAACATATGAAGATAGCATGTCTGTGTGTGTGTGAGAGAGAGAGACAGAGAGAGAATAACTACTGAAAGCTAAAAGGCAGCCAGAAAGTGGACATTCTACACTCTCATGCACCCACATATTGACTTAAAAACACAGAACAACACACAAACCCATCCAATAAACATTCTAAACGATAGCTACAGTAGTATGAAGCAATCAGATGGAAAGAGTAAGCCAGAAAAGACTTCCTGAAGGAAACAACAGTGTTTGGAAAAAGAAGTTGAGTGAAATTATTGTCCTGTGCTGGAACTTACTCTAGAATTACAAACAAGGTAAAATCCAACCAAGAGGCTGCCCAGCCCTGGGTGGGAAAGGGAGAAGAGCTATCTCTATTCTCTCACCTGGTTATGAGCCACAACTGGCAAAGGAATTAGCTTCTCCTGCAATTACAGACCTTGGGAAAATTCAGAGAATAGCTATGTGAAATCCTATAGGAAAACACAAAGTCCCCGTATGGTTTCCACAAAATCTCGTCTCTGTTCAGACCAAATACCAAAGAGCTGGTCAAATATCTTTCTGAAGACGAGGCCTTCTCCAGCCACATCATCTGGTTTCCTTGACCCCAAAATAAAAAGGAAAAAAAGGCTCTGCGAGTAGGTGCCATGTGCCCCTGGCTCCGGGGGTGGACTTGGGTGGGGGGCCAGCTTAGCGCCTTGGCTAGCGTTTGGTGCCACAGCTAAGTGCAGTCTCCAGCTTGGCGGCCTCTCCCCCTTTATCTCGCCCCCACCATTCCTTTCACTTTGACATAATGAAAGTGCAACTTGCACACTGTCTCGAGATTGCATATGATAATTGGAAACATGTGTCTGAGCTGGCATCCCTTCAAAGGGCTTTGGAGCTCTGACTTGGGCCGTCTTCTGATTGCAATAGCAATCCCCCAAGCTGGCTCTCCAGCCCTCACATTCCGTCAGCTGCACCTTAGTGTTAACTCTTGCCAGGAGAAGGCTGCTGCAGCAGAGCTCATTCCCGGGGCTCTGCAGAGGCTGGCAATGACGGTGCCCCGAATGCACGGCAGGCTCTGGGCTTGGCATCTGAGACAGTAACAGCGAGAATCAGCAGGTCCATTTCCCTTTCGGCAGAAATGGCACATGGATGGGCTGGCACCCAGGCAGGAACCTGGGTCTTTGAGCCATTGCCTAGATTCTCAAGGGGTGTGATGCTGGGATCCTTTCTGATCCAGCAGGGTGCTTTTTAGCTGCAGTGAATACCAAAATGTCGTTATCTCACCAGAAGACTCCTGAGGGAAATGCAGAATCAATGGTGACTCTCCACTGCAATCACACCAAGTGTGTGACCGACGGGAGAAGCTGAAGGGCCCTATTCAGTTCAGCAGAACTGACTGCACACCTGTGACGTGCAAGGTGCCATGCTAGGCCCAGAGTAGGAAGAGGGGTAAGATGGGCCCCCATCCTCCAGGCCCTTATATCCCAGTTGGAGGCTGAATAGAAGATCTGGGCCTTTCAGCTTTCAGTCTGGATATACCCGCATACTACACACCCCCAGCCCCAGCCCAGGGTGGTAGCCTTGAATACCCCCTGGTGTGGGCAGAAACCACCCTCCCCTCCCCTGCACATAGTACCTTGGTACTATGCTTGTTCCTGACCTGCTCTCATGCCTATCTTACTGAGTTCCAAACTCGCAGCTGGCCCAGTGCCCCTAGCCCTGCTCCTGCCTTGGGTTCTCTACAGAAGTCCTGAAGATCTGATTTAGTAGGTGAGGGATGGAGGACTGAGATCCTTCTAACAAACCTCAGCTGATACTGACAGTCCTGCTCTGGGGAACACACTTTGAACAGCAAGGTCCTACACCAAATATGCCTCCCATGGTCCAGACCTCAGTTCTCACTTAGAAACTTTGACAAGACTCAACTCTTTGGTTCTCAGAGTCCAAATTGACCTTGGGTAAAGCAGTCCTGGCTCTAACTCCACCACTGGGAATCCAACCTCTGCTATAAGCTCCCAGGCCCGTGTCCCACAGGGTCAGGCCTGTTGTCCTCCCTTGATGAGGAAAAGCCAGAAAGGGGCCCATCTGACTAATAGCACACTGGGAAGAATGTGACATGGGTAACAACCAAGTCCAGAGGAGGAAGAAAAAAACCCAAAAGGGAACCGGGGGGGAAGCAAGGGGGGAAAAAAAGGGGGGGTGGGCCCTTGAAGGGGAATTCGCAAAAGGGCCGAAAGGGAGCCAGGCACCTGCCACATAGCACCAGGCTTGGTCCTACTTGCAGGAAAAAAAGACCTGGTGACAAGCAAAGCACCACAATGGAGGTCCAGATGCAGAGTTTTCCCTCTCAAAG